TGTGGCGCAACCTGACGCCACGGTGGTCTTTACGCCATCTCCTGTTTTTACTGAACGCAAGGGCATCGTTCTCCCATTTGCCGTTCTTACAATTGCATCTGGTTTAACCGTAATGCTGGTTACCAACCACTGCAACTACCCCATCAGCTTACTTCGTGGTGAAACGTTGGGATATGTGCAACCTGTCGACCATATCGATGATATTATTCCTCCCGACGAAACGCCATGTCACATTGCCGCAATAACTCATGCGTCTGAGCCATCAAGTTTGTCAGCCTTCGACAATGCTATTGACGCAGACCTTCCCCTCTCGCATCGCCGCCAACTTGTTGCTCTCCTTAACAAGTTTCGCTCTTCTTTCGACTTTCAAGAACCTGCTTTGGGCCGCACCACGACTATCACTCATACTATTGACACCGGCTCACATTTGCCTCTGCGACAGCGTCCTTACCGCGTTTCCGCCGAAGAGCGCCGCGTCATTACGGAGCAAGTAGACGACATGCTTAAACGTGGAGTGATACAGCCTTCTCAAAGCGCTTGGTCATCACCTGTCGTTCTGGTCAAGAAAAAAGATGGCACCGTTCGATTTTGCGTGGACTATCGCCGCTTAAACAAGATTACGAAGAAAGATGTCTACCCGCTACCACGAATAGACGATGCTCTTGACTGTTTACAAGGCGCCGAGTACTTTACATCCTTGGATCTGCGTTCTGGGTATTGGCAGGTGCCAATGGCTGAATGTGATCGCCCTAAAACAGCCTTTGTAACGCCAGATGGTCTATATGAGTTCAAAGTGATGCCATTTGGGCTCTGCAACGCACCTGCCACATTTGAGCGCATGATCGATACCATCTTGCGTGCCCATAAGTGGAAAACTTGCTTGTGTTACCTGGACGACATCGTAGTCTTTTCGTCTGATTTCCCGACACATCTGGTTCGCCTCCACGAGATTCTGACGTGTCTAACTTCTGCGGGCCTACAACTTAACTCCAAAAAGTGCCACTTCGCAGCACGAAAACTAACCATCTTGGGACATGTCATCACAAGAGACGGTGTTCTTCCGGATCCCGATAAGCTTCGGGCTGTCGCTGACTTCCCGTTGCCCACATCACTGAAAGCTCTAAGAAGTTTCGTCGGTCTCTGCTCGTACTTTCGTCGCTTTGTCCCCAACTTCGCGTCCATCATCGCACCTCTAACAAGTCTGCTCTCCAACAGCAAAGGTATATCTGCATGGTCACCTGCATGTGACGACGCATTTCGCCAGCTGCGCCGCCTGCTGACCTCACCACCCATTCTTCGTCACTACGACCCCGCTGCTGCCACAGAAATTCACACCGATGCAAGTGGCATCGGTCTTGGTGCAGTTTTGGCACAACGGAAAGGCACCCAACCCGAATACGTAGTCGCCTATGCAAGTCGCGCTCTCAAGAAGGCTGAGTTGAATTACTCCGTGACAGAGAAGGAGTGTTTGGCCATAATCTGGGCCTTGACGAAGTTTCGCCCGTACCTTTACGGCCGCCCTTTCGACGTGGTCACAGACCACCACGCTCTATGTTGGCTGTCCACATTGAAAGACCCGTCCGGACGCCTGGGACGTTGGGCACTTCGATTGCAAGAATACGACATCCGTGTAGTATATCGTTCCGGTCGCAAGCATGCAGATGCCGATGCACTTTCGCGATCGCCTTTGACCCCAGACGTGGCTTCTCTGTCACCACTTTTTACCACCTTGTCACCAATAGACACCACTGACATGCTTTCGGAGCAGCGTAAAGATCCATACCTTGCATTGTTACTCGACTACCTTACCGATCCGTCTGCTGTCCCTTCCACGAGAGCGCTACGCCGACAAGCAGCCCACTTTTCCGTGCGAGACAGCATTCTGTACCGCCGCAACTACATGCCTGGTGGTCGGAAGTGGCTCCTTGCTGTCCCAACTCATATGCGCTCTGACATCTGCATGAATTTCCATGCAGACCCTCAAAGTGCTCACGCAGGTGTCCTGAAAACCTACGAAAGGCTGCGCCAACGATATTACTGGCGAGGAATGTATCGCTTTGTGCAGAAATACGTTCAGTCTTGCACCACTTGCCAACAGAACAAGACACCTCCGCGGCACCTTACTGGCATGTTACAGCCGCTCCCGTGCCCGGCTCGCCCATTCGACCGCGTGGGTATCGATCTCTATGGCCCCCTCCCATATAGTCGCTCTGGAAACCGGTGGATTATTGTCGGCGTCGATCATCTAACACGCTACGCTGAGACTGCAGCTCTACCAGCAGCGACCGCCCACGAAGTTGCACTCTTCATTCTCCGCAGCTTCATTCTCCGCCATGGGGCTCCACGGGAATTACTCAGTGATAGGGGTCGAGTGTTCCTGTCGGAGGTCATCCAAGCTATTCTCGCTGAATGCAACATCATCCACCGGAAATCTACCGCATACCATCCACAGACGAATGGTCTCACTGAACGGTTCAACCGCACACTTGGCGACATGCTGAGGATGTACACCTCCTCCGACCACACTAACTGGGACGCTGTCTTGCCTTTTGTTACCTTCGCTTACAACACCGCGACGCAAGCGACTACCGGTTTTTCCCCGTTCTTTCTGTTGTACGGCCGCGAACCATCCCACCCACTCGACACCATACTCCCGTACCGCCCTGATGTATCGGAGTGCTCCCCGCTTTCGGAAGTCACCAGATACGCTGAAGACTGCCGTCAGTTGGCTCGGTCTATGACAAGTGAGGCTCAAGGTCTACAAAAAACACGGCATGATGACGCTCATCACATAGCGCCTACGTTTCGTACTGGCTCCCTCGTGTGGCTTTGGGTGCCCCCGCACGTTCCTGGCCTGTCTTCTAAACTTCTGGCCCGGTACCATGGTCCATACCGTGTCATTGACGCAACCTCACCAGTGAATTACATCGTCGAGCCCCTAACACAATCGCCAGATTTGCGCCGTCGAGGACGCGAGACCGTACACGTCGACCGTCTCAAGCCCTACTACGACCCCCTCATTGTGCCTACTCCCTGAGTCGCCAGGATGGCTACTCTTCAACCCGGGGGGTATTGTAGTGGAGCATACGCACTAACGTGTATGCGCCTTCCAAAGAGAAGGAAAAACCCCGTGCTCTGATTGCACGAGAACCTGGGCCGCCTTTTGCCAGACTTGTCGTACGGCCATTTTTCGTTGCGACATCGTTGCGACTTCTCCGGTTCAATAAACGTCATCACACCAGTGACAGGGCTTGCACAACAGCATCAGGCAGCTCGTTCCATTTTTGAATAGCCCTAGGAGAAAAGCTAAACTTAAAACAATTGATAGAGGCAGAAGGTGGAGGAGTGTACATAGTGTGTCTGTGCCTAAATTAAGTGTCACTTTGGATGATAAAGTAGTCACTCTTGTTCATGATGATGAGATTGTGAATGATGAGGAAAATAAATTTTAGTCAAGAGCGGTCCTCGATTCTAGGGATTGCAAGTTGGCAAATTTGCTAAGTTCTGAAGGGGAGTCATGTCGTCGATACTTATTATAAAAAAGAACTTAGCGCGAGGCATTCAACTTTATCAAATTTAGACTTGTTTGTTTCAGTGTAAAGGTCCCATATTAACTTGGCATACTCCAAAATAGGTCTGACTAATGTTTTGTATGCCAGAATTTTAACTTCAGGGTGTGCGCTGTAAATGCGTCTTCTTAAGGGCATTCTTTGCCTTAGCACACATGGCATCAATATGAGTATTCCAACTCAAGACAGACGTTATGGTGACACCAAGAACATTGCCGTCAATGCAATATGTTTGTACGGGAGCACTGACTTGCAAGTTGCAACATATGTGAATTAAGTAGCCTTATTGGCTCTCTTTTTGGATAGACGGGCATTCCAGAACTCTCTGACGAAGGTATGACGCTCTCCAAAGAGAATTCATGTATTTTTTTTTTAAGGGAATCATGTATGTGCAAATTTCGGACCCACAGAGTCAAATCGCTTTTTTTTTGTTCAACTCGTAAACCGCAGCCTTGATCACGCCTTCGATAATTGACAACGAAATGGGAGGGCATGTTCAATACAGCTTCCGACGTATAGAGAGCTGCCTTATTCATTTTATTCGTTTGACACTACTGTTTGACTTCAACGAAATCATTGGAGGGTCAGCAGCAGTGGTTAGTTATGCTTGACGTTGTTGAACCGAAGAACTCTAAATGTGACGATGGGTGAAACGGCGATAACCACACCTTCACTTCATCAACTGATTTACTAAAGAGTCACTTTATTATTGCGTAGTAAGCATAATTAAGATTATAATATATTTATTGTCATTAACGCTCACGATGACGACGACTACGGGCCCTGTTCCGCGTTTTCGCAGTCATATGAGGCTTTCACCTTAAAACGGGTCTTGCTCTAGTATTTCCGAGGTGCCTCAGTTAACTGGAAGCTCGTATGAACTGGTTCCATAAAACATGACACAGTGACATCAAGATGAAATGGTCATCCACCTCGCAACATAGCCACTAAGTGACATTGAGTAATCGCTTTTGCGCTCAATTCATTGAAACGTCCTAGCGGAAAAAGCCACAATGTTAGTTCCGCACCGAACGTGGTCAAAAGATTCCGTGAAGAGAATTAAGAGTCTATGTAAAATGGAATTCTAGAGTACATCAAAATGTGCGACGATGATGGAGGGCTACGGCGCGGAAGTGCCGATGTAAACAAACAAGCAGGGTCTGCAGGGTGAAAGCGTGAATTCACGCAGGGAAAGCGACAGGTAAGAATAGCGAAGAGGTCCCTGTTTGATAGGGCCGAATTAAATCAATACGCACGCCGAAATTGCGGCCTTGATCGCTAGCGCGGCCACAGTGAACGTGATCGACGACGGGGCAAAAACGTGCGGTGCGTTGTTTAGCCCTTCTCTCGACCCACAACGTCCAGTTTTTTAGCGTCAACTTAGCGAACGCAGGTAAAAATTGTAAAATAAAGTAAGAAAAGCAAACGTACCCGTATGATCCAGTGGCCGCCACGAATAGACGTAGATGCTGTGCGTCTTCTCTTCGACGATCACTCCGGAAACACCTCTGATCTCACTAACTGATCACACATTCGAATCACGCACGAAGGGGAAGAGTGGTAGGTCCATCCAGCGAGGAGCAGCAGAGCTTACGATGGTCGCGTATATAAATCCAAGGGAAACTGCGGTGATCACTAATCTCTGATGAGCGAAGGGGCAGTTGGAGGGTCGAGTAGCTTTAGCTGGACAAGTTAATGCTGCGATGCATATGCAGGTAACTGAACAAAACCAACGAGAAGGCGAGGAAGCGAAGCAAACCACCCGCGGCGAGCCGCTCCGAAGCTGGCACTGCCAACGGGACCACTCGGACCTTGTGGTCGTAGTCTGCGCTTGAAAGCGAGAGAGAGTGCAAGTTCCTGAGGCTCCTCTCTCCGTAGCGGTGTGCACGCGACCTGCTAGTCGCGGTTTTAAAGGCGACGGTAGTACGCGCTATGCGGCCGGCGAGTACACAACTGACACAGCTGCTCGGGCCTCCGTATCATCCGTCAGGGACGGGCCGAGGAGCTTCTGAAAAAGTTCTCCCCTGGGAAAGGGACGCCGCTCCGCAGAGCCAATGGAGAGGACGCCCCGCGGAAGACAGGGTTTCTCTGCGAGAGAGATTCGGGGAGGAGATGAGAGAGGAAAATGGCTAGGTAGCGAAGAGGGCGCGGTGCATCTGCTCACCACAACCTCCCAAACACGGACGGCTTTGCGAGCGTGTGTGTGTCCGATAGAACACGCGTTGCGGTCATCCTCAATAACGTTGAGGAGGCGGTGTGCAATAAGTTACTACTGCCGGACAGCAGTGGTCAGGCCCGTCGCAGCTGCAGATGATGATGGTGGTGGTTGATTTTTTATGGCTTCAAATGTCCTGTTCAGACTTTTGGCCATTACAAATCACGGCCATTGACAGAACACCATGAAAGTGCCACTGCTAGTTTATGCCGCTGTAAAGTTATAGAAACGAAAGAGTCGGCGCTGAAACGACGACGTCAGAGGGCAAAGAGTCGGAGTTTCCTCTCAGGCAGTAGATCATCCGGTGATCCCAGAGATATTTCTGGCTTGAACGTGTAGTGATTGAAAAGGTCACACCACGAACACGATGACAAATTTCTGTCCGAATGAGAGGGGCCACATGTTAAAACAAGAAGGCCTACATTTTCACCATAAATCTAAACACAATAGCTGGGTGAGATTGAGGAAAATCGAAGGGTGATTTTGAGAAAATTCATGAAAAAATTGCTGAATAGGCAATGTCACTGGGGCCATTGTTTTAATAAGCAGACTTATCTTCGTCAGGGTCCATTCCGGTAAGATAAGTCTGAGAAGTTTGTCCCTTCACTACAAGATGGGCCAACTAATGGAGTCACTGCAAGTTCCGCCTGAAATCGACTGAAATAATTAGGAAGTACGTCGCAATGATCAACAAGATTTCCTCAGCCAAATTGGTAGAAGAAAAACAAATAGAAAGAACACAGTTGAAACTAGGTCTTTTACAGAGTCACCTAAGATACATGAATGTGAAACCTATCTTCATCATCCTTCAGATTCCTTTTATTCTTCACAAGTCGTTTGTACTGATTTCCGTCGCCCCCTCCCAACACGTGAGTCAAATGATACCTTGCCTCCTGTAGGCTTTGTCGCCGACGACTGACACCACTACAGATAGGCGCATTCCGCGAAATACCTACAGTAGCAACGAAAAAAAAAAAAAGACTGACACAAGAAAATCGTGGCCGAAGCGGTGAAATTGCGGTGCACGGTGCTATTCCCGAGCCCGACGATAGCGAGAGTGCCAAGCACATTCCATTTCACCAAGGAGGAACGGCCGGCACAAACCAGCTCATGTTGCTGGACCATGAGAAAGCCCCCATTAAAACAAGAAAGAATATCGTCTTTAAAAGAAACATAATAAACGCTTTTAGATTTCGTATCGGTCGACGTGGCCATGCACGCCATTTTTCTCTCTCTTTCGCCGGAGTTGCCGGCAACCGTATCTTCACGGCAGTCGCCCTGAAAAAGCTGTTTGTTGGAGTGCTTTCCGCCGGCTGCTGCTCCTTTTGAAAATGGAAATGTGCTCGGCTCTCTCGCTTTCAGCACACTCGCGCGCCGCGTGCCGCAGTTTGGCTGCTCCCGCCACCAGTAGCTTGTGGTAATCTTTTTTCGTTGTGACTGTACTACATTTACGGGCAGGTTGCCGAAAGAATGATAAAAAGCAGGCAGGCAGGCAGGCAGGCAGGCAGGCAGACATTAACGCTTCTGATTTGAAACGTACAACACTGATTATCATCTGATATGTGTATCAGTTAACGTTAACTCGTAGCCAGGGCCTGATATGCGATTGTGGCCGGAGCATTCCTGGAATGACGAACCCTACCACCTAATGTAACCCCGATCTCACGAGCTCGGGGACACCGTTTCGGGACAAGGAACGTTTATTTTCTAATTGCCAACATGATTATAAACCTATTAATTCAGCTTTTCTTGCTGCATTTTAAGCGGAACACTAATGTCGGAGGCGCTGAAGTTGCACGTTAGTTCAGCGAAGCAGAGACAGCGTAAGCCGCGAGAGTTGAAATGGAAGAGGTAAAATATATTGGAGACCAGAAAAAAGATGGAAAATCGAGTGTTGGTCCATTAGAGTGAATATGCTGTTCAGGGTTCACTGGTGATACGTAACTGAAACAGACTGGTACACATCGGAGACGAAGGAGAAAGCGCAAACGCGGCATGCAATTGTGTCCGGGGATGAGAAAAGTGGCACATACGCAGGTATTGCACCACGTCTAGCTGGCACCGCGCCTCGCATTGCAAATGCGAAGGAGCTCGTCCATTTGCTCGGTGTGCGAAGTGGCAGGAAAGATTCAGCTGAATAATTTTCCAGGCCTTGAAGGCGAGGAACACGAGCTGTGTGCAGCGTAGGTACAAAGGCTTTCCTAACAGTGCTGCATACGCAGGGGAAGAGCGTAGGTGCTGCTTTGCATTTGAATGACCTACAGACGGGATTAGTTTTGTTAATGTTACGCCCACTTCTGGTTTCTTTCATGTTATTTCGATGATTACTGCTACCCCAATAGAAAGCATTGCAGACGTTCAAGTTCTCAATGTAGCATCTTTCGGCCAGCAAGGACTTCCGGTAAGGATTGGTGTGTGAACGCTAACCATCAGAACATTGCTTTCCAGCCAGGGTTACAATCACGAAACATTAGACTTGCAGTTCGGCCTGTGTTCCATCTGTACTTTGTGAGACCCTACAAAATGTCTTATTTGGCTGCGCCCGCCCTAATACGCATAAGGTATAACAGCAGTAGTTACTTATATATAGTTCACCTTCACCCTATACCGATACTAGTGGAAGCCATTCAGGAATGTCGTCCACAGAAGTCATGGCCGTTTAGAGCGATGATGGTATTGGTAAAATTTTGACGACAGACTTGCGCAAGGGGCCTTAGACTAATTGTGTTGATTAGGACGGAGGAGTGACCTCGCACACCAAACAAGAGTGGCTGCCCCATGACGTTGTGTATGCGTAGCCAGGTGATGTTTACGAAGAAGGTTGAGCTTAAACTGAGGACAGTGGAGTGAAAGACAGGAATAAGGTGAAAGATGTACCCTTGAGAGAAGAACAGAGTAGTGTAGGCAAGAGAACAAACGAGTGTAAAGGACATCATGGTCAAAATCAAGATGAAGAAAAGAGCATGGGCAGTGCACATAGTGCGAATCCATCATGATCGATGATCACTAAACGTATGACATTGGATTCCAAGACAATGCAATCGCGTGAGGCGGAGACACCAAGTTAGGTTGAAGTTCGCGGGGTGTAATAACGGAACCGCAGCAAGCACAGGACTGGGTTGATTGGTGAAACATGGGAAAGACCCTGGCCTTGCAGATGTCGCAGACAAGCTGAGTCTGACTAAGTGATTACTCTATGGAATGCATTGCTAGGCTCCAGTTGGTGCATTGTCTGGTAATAAAAGTATAGAGTGCTCTCTCCTGTGTAGTTGTCTCCTGTATTTCGTCTTTATTGCGCTTTACATTTATTTTCAGACCATTACTCTACCTCGATCCCATGAACCGAAGCCTTTAAATGTTCATGCGATCTCCGTGGGCAGCATGGAAACACTGATATACTACCAGTGCTACAAATGACGACGCACGAGACCAATTGTCCTGGACAAGTCTTGGTTCGAGGCGCCACGTCCCATGTTTATGCTCACAATGGTTGCGGACGCTACGCCCAGTTACAATTCAAGCCTACACACTCGCAAACATGAGCGGGCAACACTCGCGAGCGCAGAGAAGCGAAGGTGTAAACATGCCCCGATTTGTGTATGAATACACTTAGCGAGCGCGCGCCAAAAAAGACTCGCCCCCACCGTCACGCCTACCTCGCATCCGCGCGCGAGGCGTCTTCGTGCAGTGCTTACACGTCTTCGAAGGCCATTCGACAGTGGCGGTAAAAATCTTCATTCCAGATGGCGCTGCGTCACCCACTTCCTCTTGTTGTGGCCAGCGTGGGGCGTATGCCGCCAAACGGCCACGTCATTGATCAAACACACGCGATTCCCGGTTCGGAAGGCGGTAATCTAATAGCCCGAGTTCACTGTATTTAGGGGTCAACGCGAAACCGTGCCGTTTTAATTGCATTGATGAGGCTGTACGCCGCAGCAGGGCCGACTATGGCCCCTGCTCGAGTCGGGGAAAGAAGGATTAATATGCGACGTTAATTACGTTATTTCATTATCATGACGGTGCCTTTTGTGCACCACGGATCCGATCTCCATCTTCCGTGGTTGCGTGCGGTTGTTACGTGACCTCGGCATGCTCCATCCCACGCAGAAAACCGTGCCCTCTCGGGCGTCGCTAATTGATGATGCGCTGTGTAAATCCTTCCACGTTATCATCGCCTGTTTTCTTGCCTAAGCCTGAGACGGCGAGAAGGCCTGACGCTGCTTTCGTTATCGGTGATGGCGCTGATGGTGAGAGTTCAATTAGCGAGTGTACCTTTAATTGCAAATGAAATTGGACGAAGGAAGTGCACTCTTAAAAAAAGGCAGTGCTATTTACTAACTTTGAGGTAGTAAGTTGTTGTCACAACATTCACTACCTAAGTAGTAACTGCAGGTAGTAGATCACATACGTTTACTACCTCAGAAGCAACCAGAGGTAGTAAATGTGTGTGGTATACTACCTACGGTTACTACTTAGGTAGTGAATGTTGTGACAACAATTTACTACCTCAAGGTTCGGAAGTAGAACAGCCTTTTTTGTAAGAGTGTAGTAGAAGTATATACAGATGAAGTGGCGTTTTTCTGCTTGCCTTTGCATAATGGGGCGGTACGCTTGTAGATGCGCCTTTTGCTCGAAAGAGAAGTTGCTCCGCACTTTACTATGAAAGGGAAAACATGGGGAACAGACCACCTCGGTGCAACAGTTCCTACGGTGCTCGGCGGCTCACACAAAGGTCGCGAGTTCGATCCGGTACGCGGCGGTAGCGTTTCGACGGAGGCGAAATGGTCCA